ACTGTCCTAAAATCATACAGGGATCATCTTCTTGTCCCTTAAAGAATTATTACTAAGTAGGCAAGCTATGGAAATATGCCATAAATTAGTCTAATTTAGTGAACCTGTGTGTATGCTTTTCATAGGAATTGTGGCAGGATTTCTATTAAAGAAAAAAATAAGACATTGACAATTTTAATCAAAATACAGCAAGTTTCAAGGTTCATTTTTAAACTCCTTAAATAACATACAGAATACAGTCAACACCTCTAAGCTGTTCAGAGGCACTAAGTGCCAATATTTTTGCAACAGGAAAAGTAACTTGAACACTGGGGAGTGATTGTTCAAAGACAAAGAGCATCCAAGATCATGCTCCAGGCTTCTACCTATACGTGGCCTTGGGGTCCAGTCACTGGAACTTGCATGTGAGGCTCTGTCTTCCTCATCACTGTCACAGGAGTGAAAGCCATTGGCTATGATTTCATCGCTGAGGAGGAAGTTATCTGCAAGACAGCATGAGCACGGGATTACACTCCAGCCCAAGGGCACAGTGCATCTTCAAACAGATCACAAAAACAAAAATCACACACTCAGTCAGAAGCTTTGTCACTCAGGCACAGAAAATGTCTGTTTCTCTTCACATTTAGAGATAGACTTCCAAGATGTTGGTAGATTTACTGCAGGGTTTGCACCTCAGTGCTGGGCTTCAGGGGGACTGGATGCTGACCTTGGTGAAATCTTGTTCTCTAAAGTGTTGGGCATTATTGATATTTCACCATAGAAAAAATCCAAATGTTTTAAAAGTATAACTGAAAACACCTTTCCCTTACAATTCCCACTGCATTCAGTTCATTCAAAAACTGGGTAAAATGAAAACATGGCACCATTGCAGACAGATCTTTGACTAGGTTTTAAGAGCATTTAACAACATTTTGAAAGAAACCCACAAATGCACATTTGCTACAACAAATTCACAGGATTTGGTGAGGGTGTTACCTTGCAGCTCAGCTGTGTTGCTGACCACATACACAATTTATGATATTTCAGTTGTGACACAGAACATGCTCCCCTGTAGCACCCTCACTAAGTTTCTCTCGTCCATTTGGCCCTGCAGCTGGGCCTGGCTCAGAGTGCCAGAGTCACCTCAGCTCAGCCCATGGCCTTGAGCCAGAGTAACTCAATCTAACTCCATCTCAGACCTGATGAGTGAGCCCAGGGCAGCACAAGGCACTTGTGTTACTGAGCTCACATTGAAGGGGAAATCTAAATTCCAGCCTGAGCAGCTCATTAGAACGTAGACTACTCAACAACCTTTTTTACTGGCTTCGTTAGAAATAGCCTCAGCACCTGTAGCTTCATTTGTTGAAAATCTAAGATATGAACAAAGAACAAATTTCAGCCATGCTCTGTAAAGCAAAGAATCACTGGCGTAGTTCTCATTCTCATCTGAAGAACTGAAGAACCTCCTGCACTGTTTTAGCTGTTATTCCACTTGATTCTCAAATAAAGAACACCACAAAACACCATCATTTTTTATTCAGAGGTTGTGTTGTCCTTCTCCTTGTTAGCATAAATTTTTGATTTGACTTTATTTTTGATTAGAAAAGAAAGATCAATGATGGAAATTTGTTGTTGGTCCTTGCTATCTTGTTCTTCTGAGGCCACAGGTGCTGATGGACATTACTATTTCCTATTAATCTATTTATTTACAGCATTTCAGTTCCATCATATTATGCATGAAGTCACTGAACACTGAGAATTTTGGAGAAGGAAAAAGTGCATTAGTACACATCAGTAACCACGAGGTGCAAGTTTAACTTGAGCGACCTTTATGGCTTCTGTATCAAGAAGCAAAGCTTACATTGTGAAAGGCTCCTCACACGCAGGCCACAGGGCCTGGGATTCGGGAAACAGTGACAGATACAAGAAGTTTAAACTGTAACACTCCCTGAGTATTCCTCAAAGGACCAGAGGGGATAATGCAGGCCAGAACTAAGCCAGCCACAGCAAAACACACCTGAGGCTCAGAGGGACCTGAGCAAAAGCTTTGGGTAAGGCACTGGTAACAGATCATTGGCTTGGCTGTCAGCTGTTCTAGTGGAGTTTTTAAATACTGAAGCTGTTCCAGGTTTACTCTATACCTGTTCCTTTTGGACTGCTTTTGCACAGACATTTGCTACAGAGTTGAAGTACCTTTAACGGCATTCCAGGATAAAATGTAAAGACTATACTGGCAGAATGCAGCGTCTGATACATTTTAATAAGTCTCTCCAAAGCACTGCTTTAAAAACAAAAAAAAATAGCCAAAATTAACAACTCAAACAAAACAGAACTCAAACCTGATCAGTGTGCACTGTGAGGTACTTTCACAGTGATGCTGCCCACCAGTACACTTCAAATATCTGAAAGAAACTTTTTTTAAAAAAAGAGGATACTGCGCCCCATATCCTCTGAGATCTAGCTTCGTTTTGTGCTGCAGTCACTGAAACCTTAGCCAAGACTGTCACTTGCAGTTTTTTAAAGAACTAGTCAAGACTACTGCTGCTGAGCCTATGTGCAAGTTTCTAAGGATCAGAAATAAAATAATTAACACGGCAGAGATTGCAAAAAGGAAACCGGGCTTATATTTGTTCATTTTGAATAACTTGTTGCCAGCACCACAGCAGAATGAATGTGCTCAGGGCTGAGAGCCAAGCCGCTGTCCCCGTGCGGCACAAGGCGCGGAGGCCGTGCGGGGCCGGCCCGGAGCTGCCCTGGCCGGCGGGGCCGGGGCGCAGCGCTCCGCCGCTCGCTCGGTGTGCGGGGCCGGGGCCGGGCTCAGCGCTCCGCCGCTCGCTCGGTGCGCGGGGCCGGGGCGCAGCGCTCCGCCGCTCGCTCCGTGCGCGGGGCCGGGGCCGGGCACAGCGCTCCGCCGCTCGCTCCGAGTGCGGGGCCGGGGCGCAGCGCTCCGCCGCTCGCTCCGTGCGCGGGGCCGGGGCGCAGCCCCGCACTCGCCGCGGCCGGGCCGGTGACACGGCGCCCCCGGGACACGCGGGGCCGGCCCTGTGCGGGGAGGAGGGAGCCGCGGAGGAGGGGAGGGAGGGGAGAAGGGAGGGGTCGGTCCTCACCGGGATGCGGGGCCGGCACCGCGGCCGCCCCGTTCGAACACTGCGCCCGCCCGCAGCCCGGGGCCGCCTCCGCCGCGTCTTCGCCGGGCGCCGCCTCCGCGCCCTCCCCCTGGTCCCGCCGCGGAGGCGGCTCCGCCCGGGGCAGGCCCCGCAGCCCGGCCCCGCCGTCCGCGCTGCTCCGCGCCGCCGCCGCCTCGCCGCCGTCCTCCCGCTCCGCCCGGCCGCCATCGAACGCCGCAGCCGCGGCCGCCGTCTCCTCCCCCGGCGGCTCCGCGGGCGCGGCGGCGAGGGGCGCGGGCGGCGGGGCCGCGGCGCGGTCGGGGCGCGGAGCGGGCGCGGCGCTGCCCGATCCGCGGCGGTGCCGCTTGGCCGCGGGCTCGGCGCCGTCGCTGCCGGGGCCGGCGGGGCCGCGCGGGCGGAGCGGCGCAGCGTCCCCGTCCGCCATCTTGGCGCCGCCGCCCCCCTCGCGCCCGGCCCCCCCCGCCCGCCGCGGGCAGCGCCGCCGCACGTGACCGCGGCACGTGACCGAGCAACAACAAACCGGGGCACGTGACCGGGGGCGCTGCCGGCGTCACGTGGCGCTCGTGCCGCCTCGCGCCCCTCACTCGGGCGGCCCCGCCCCGGCGGCGCGAGCGGCCCCGAGCGCTCATGTCCCTTCCCGTCCCTTCCCCGAGCCCTCATGTCCCGTCCCCGAGCCCTCATGGCCCTTCCCCGAGCCCTCCTGTCCCGTCCCCGAGCCCTCATGTCCCGTCCCTTCCCCGAGCCCTCATGTCCCTTCCCCGAGCCCTCATGTCCCGTCCCCGAGCCCTCATGGCCCTTCCCCGAGCCCTCATGTCCCGTCCCCGAGCCCTCATGTCCCTTCCTTCTCCTGAGCCCTCATGTCCCTTCCCCGAGCCCTCATGGGGCTTCCCCGAGCCCTCATGTCCCTTCCCGAGCCCTCATGTACCTTCCCGTCCCTTCCCCGAGCCCTCATGTCCCTTCCTTCCCCGAGCCCTCATGTCCCTTCCTTCCCCGAGCCCTCCTGTCCCTTCCCGAGCCCTCATGTCCCGTCCCCGAGCCCTCCTGTCCCGCCCCTTCCCCGAGCCCTCATGTCCCTTCCCGAGCCCTCATGTCCCTTCCCGCCCCTTCCCCGAGCCCTCATGTCCCATCCCCGAGCCCTCATGTCCCTTCCCGCCCCTTCCCCGAGCCCTCATGTCCCTTCCCGAGCCCTCATGTCCCTTCCTCCCCCGAGCCCTCATGTCCCTTCCTGCCCCTTCCCCGAGCCCTCATGTCCCTTCCCCGAGCCCTCATGTTCCTCCTGTCCCTTCCCGCCCCGGCCGTGTGCCGCTCGCACCTGCCGCTGCCGAGCAGAGCCCGCGCACGGTCCCTCTGCGCTCCCCGGCCGGCGGCTCCCGGCCCGTGGCGGCTCCGCCGTTCGCCCTCCCCGTGAGGCGGCCTCAGGGCTCGCTCTCCCTCAGGGTACCGGGCAGCCTGTGCCCTTCCCGGGAGTGAGCTCGGCGCTGCAGAGCGCTTTGCTGGGCGGTGCGGCACCTGGCCGGGGGAACCCGCCCGCCGGGGCTGCCCCGAGCTCGTTCCCAGGCGCGGAGCGGGCCGGGGTCTCGGAGCGGCCTCTGTCACCCGGAGCTGAGGTGGGGGTGCGCACGGGGCGCGGCCGCTGCCCGCCTGCCCAGGCAGCGCACCGGCACCGCGGCTCCCGGCAGGGATGCTGTAAGGCATCGCCCGCATCCTCCGGGAAAACACATAGCCCCACCTGAGATCTGCATCGCGGTACTTGAGCTCCCGGGATGCAGGGGCTTTTTCGGGGCGGGGGGAGTGAGCAGCACCTGTCTAAACCACTGCTGCTTTAGGAATGGAGCCTGCGTGGTGTGTAGGAGAGGCCTGATGGTAAGCGGCGAGAGTTGGGATTTGTTCGAATAACGGCCCCAAATCCATTGTGTTTCCCGTGCTGAGCGGGAGTGGGCGCGGTTGGTCTCCCTGCTTTCCCGGGGATCTCTTGTTCCCGGGAGTGCAGGAGCAGCCCTTAGTGCCCCACCTGGACGTGCCACGCGTGGGCTTCCCGTGGCAGAGTTTCCTTCCGCCTCGGAGTTTGGACTGGATAGAACTCAGCCTTCTTCCCAGGACTGCCACCAACACAGAATTTTGGTCTAAACTTCATGGATAGAAATTTAAATGCTGCTTTGTTGTTACTGTTCAACATCACGAGCTATTTGCAGAATAGTATTAGTGGCTTTAATACAATGGAATTCCTAACTTTAGTGGCAAGACCCAAGTTACAGAGGTAGAATTTCTCCCTTGCAGGCCTTGCTAACCAACAGCTTTAAAAAAACCCTTGGGATTAAAAATTTTGATACATATGGCTTCAAAGGGATTATTTTATGGATAATTAACTTTTTTATAGGTAGTCTTTGTTGGGGGAGAGAGGTTTGGGGATCTTTTCTGGTTCTTTAAGGTATTAAAAAACCTGAAAAATACATACATACTGGTTTTTCTCACTACCTGCTTCTCAAAACAAGCTGCAGAGTAACCAGATCAGAAAGTTTTTATTATTCTATGCAACTTTGTACACAAGCGTTCTTTTTCCTTCTTGCCCCTGGAAGCTGAGGCAAGATCTGTATTTCTTAAAAAACACATGCAAGCTGCTTTTGTCAGCATATAAAGGGGAGGTGGGGATGTAAGATTGGTTTGGTGGTTATTTTTGTGAAGACAGTTCTAAGGAGGAAATAATCAAAGTGATGCAGAGGTAGCATCTGAGGTTTCCGTGGAGGTACCAGTGAGGCAGCGACTTGGGGATCCTAAAGCCACTTTTGATCCTGCAGACATTGCTCCACGTCAGTGATGGCGTTGCAGGAGTTACCTTCTTGTGGGAGGTCAGTTTGGGAGTGCTTGGGTCCTCTGCTGTTTCTGCAGCTCTGAGCTTCTCTGAGGGCAAGGATGGGGCACGCCGTGCAAAACTGAAATGAATTGGATGGTGCCTTGGACTTCTCATAAATGTGTTCTCTGCCTTCAGGAAGCAAAACCCCTGAAGTCAGTTGAGAAGAACTGGTCCTGGAATACTTCATGTATTTTACAGGAATAAATTCAAATAGAGATTTCCAGACCGTACTGTTTTATTTAAATGGCTATTTATGACTTTTACAAGTTGTTGGTAAATGTCCTGTTACATTGGAGCAGGATTTAGATTCACTCTGGGCTCTAAACAAACAGAATTGTCAATATGTGTTAGGACTGAGAGACACCTTTTGTTGGTGGCTGGGTACAGAAAACAAATACGAGATTTCCTCACTTCCAGAACAGTTTGTACATCCTGAGCAACACTAACCTCGGCATGTGTCTGTGCCATCTCCTGCACTGCAATTCCCTTTTAAATGAACTTTATGTCCCGGGGCATATCTTTGTAATTGTTTTGTGTAATACACGTGGCTGCTCTTGCACTCCTCTTTGATGATGCTTTGGGAGTTGCCCCTCCAAAGTCAATAGGAGCAGTGAAAGGCTGAGTTACTGTTCAGTGTATTTTGTGTTCTCCAGACACGAACCTGCACTGTGCTGTGGAGCCTTTGTGCCTCAAGCACCGGGGATGTGGAGGGGTGAGTGTGGGCACTGCTGCAGTTTGGTCAGAGCCGTGCTGTGTGTGGCAGAGGAGTCCAGGCGGGGCTGAGGCTCCGGGGAGCACATTCCCTGGGAGCACACAGCTGCCAGATTTGTCACTGCAGTGCAGCCCCTGGACCTACAGCTGCCCAGCAGCACAGAAATAGCCACTGAAAGCTGGAGGGGAAAAGAGTTAAAGAGCTTCCCTTTCACCTTACACAAATACACAAGGAATACTTGGAAAAGAAGGGATGTCAGGAATGCTGTTGGGAGGAGGGACAGCTGTTTGTTTTTTGTCCTCCCACAGAGTACAACCTATTTAAATATTTACATGTTCTGTTTTTAAAAGACTTTCCTTTCTTTCCCGTACTTTTATGGTTATTAAGTTAGGGATGGTGGAGATGGAGAGATTTGTAATTGCTAATTCTTCCACTTGTAGTGACATTGAAAAAAAAATTATATTGTTTTATTTACTCAGAGAAATATGTTGGTAGAGTTTTCTATCAGATTTAAATGGTTTCACCCATGATTGTGCTTTTTCTTTTAATATTATTGCTTTTAGTTACTGTCTAGATTTGGAAAGACAGGTGTCTGCTAAGGACGGCAGGAGCCTCCCCTGAAATGGAAAAATGTAAACCCCTTCCCTCTGACATGTTATAAATTTGAAATTAAGGGGGGCTCTCAGGCAAAAGTATGGGAACAGGTATAACAGCTCTTTATTAGGGAAGAAAATAAAAAAATAAAATAAACAATGTAGTAAAAAATAACACTGATATTAAAGCACTTTGGGTGCAAAAATTATATACTTGTTATTAATAAATAGCTCTGAATGGTCACTGGGGCCTTCATTGATTCACAAATGGCCTATTCCAGCCTTGGTCACATCCTGGGGATCTGTTCTCCTACAAGGTCACTGCATCTAGAGCTGTATAACCTCTTGCAGCATCTATTTGCAACTGTTAAGGAAACATGTTAATGACATGAAACATCTTGGGTTGCAGAGTTCATGCAGGGGTGGGAAATGTAAAACCAGAACTAACGCTCCAGGGCAGAGACTTCAGCATGTGGTTCGGTTAGGAAGTAATCTTTTGAAATCAACAGCTCATGGGTGACACCAAAGGTGTCCAGAGTTGCTGTTGGGCTGAGGCCTTGGTCATTAATCATAGCTTAAAATTAAGGTATTTCACCTCAATGTAAGATGAGTTTCACAAAGAGCATGTTTTGCACACAGTACAGACCTTCAATACACAGTCTGAAAGTAATTTGGCATGAGAAAGCGTGTTTAATTTCATAGTAGACCGTGAGTGTTTTGTGTCGTCGGGTAGTTTTAGTTGGTGAGATGTGAGTAATGTTCAGTTGCTGTTTGGTTTTGAGGAGTAGTGTCTGTGTAACCAAGGAGTCCTTCGGAGAGTGAAGGTTGACTGGCAGACCTCTGACAGACTTTGGCAAGGTTGGTGCTTTGTTCTCCAAAGTTTTCACCCTGTAATTGTTATTTTGGAAGTAATCCTTACTCTCTTTTATAATTACCCATCTAATCATCTGGGCAAAGATGGTGGCAGAAGTTGTAAATAAAAGTGGAACAGAAAATGGCCCAGGTGCAGAGCAGCCTCTCGGTGTGTGCCTGGTTTGCAGAGGCTGCACAGGGGATGGGGAGAGAAATCTCTGCCACGTTTCAGTGTGCGGAGCTCTGCGGTCTGGGCGGTTTTTGGCTGAGTGAGTGAGTGTGGAACTACAAATCCCAGGGAGCCGTGCCGGGAGCGGCTCTGTGGGGCGGGCGGCACCGTGCGGGCCAATGGCAGCGGGAACTCCCGGCCCGGTGCGTTCGGCTGCGGCGCTCCGAGGCGCCGCACGGAGCTCGCCGGACTGCGAGCTGCCCCTGCCCGCAGCGGATTGCTGTGCGAGCTCTGACTCGGCTCCTCAGCCTCCCTGCCGCCTGCGAGAAACCCGCTGGACCGATGGATGCCATCCTGAGCTGCAAGGCGGAGGACCTGGAGGATTACTACAACTTGCTGGGATGCGATGAGCTATCGACGGTAAGAGCCTCTCCCTCCCCGCCAGCTTCTGCACGGTGTGAACGCGCTGTGTGTCTGTAGGGAATGTGCAGCTGTGTCTCTGCTGGGCAGGAATATTCCAAATGCCTTGTGCACCTTCTTTCTTGCCACTCGCAGGATCTCCCTTGGAAAGCTCAGTTTTCTCTCCTGTGTTTTCTCTGACATTAAGAGCCTGGAGTAAGATTTAGGTTGAAAATGCCATGTAGAACAGGACTGGATTATGGAGAGAGCCAACTGCATGTGTTTGACAGCATCCAAATAATAGTTTGGAATAGATATTACTGGTTTTGAAAACTGAAAAGGAGCTATTTATGAACGAGCAATACAATGAAAGTTCATAGCTTTAGGTGCTGAGTTTCTTGGGCTTTATAGATAGTGTAATACTTTTTTAATCTATTCACTTGTTCAGATGAAAATAAAACCGATATCTTTTTATAATTTACCATATTAATATTTTAAATGCTGTTTTAAATTAAATTCAAATACTAGTTTTAGTAATTTGTTTTGCTAGCAGACACATGCTTTATAATGAGATTTAGCTAAGCTATTTTTGAGTGATTTGCAGCTAAAACAAGTGTGCATCGTGTTAAATGTATCCGTACAACTTTTTGTTGGCTAGTCTAGTATGCTGATTTTCTCTCTTTTTTCCCCCCTTAATTTAGCTGTTATATTAACTGGAATTGTGTTTCTGATTTGGAAAAGGAGTTTGGATTACTCTGCTGTAATGAGGGACGTATTAAGTGGAGATAAAAGCTGTCTTGCTCAGTAAATTTAGTCAGATGCTCTCACCCGTCCCAGTAGTGAAGTATAAAGATTGGGAGTAAACATCTTCAGTGAGTCCCAGAGGGAAATGCCAAGCTTTTCCTGAGGACACTCCCAGAAGTGATCCCAGCAGAGGGCAGTGCTCAATGCTCCACGCAGCCTTGTTTCGCAGATGCTGTTTCTCACTCTCTACCTCACACTAATTCCTTAAGGGCTTTGCAATTAATGAACAGTTCAAGTACATGTGATAATGATTTTTCAAATTGCTTGAAAATGAAATTAAAAAGCTGGAATAAATGCTAATGGGTCCTGAAAAACAAGCTGTCAAGTACTATTTGTTGGGAGCAGCAGTGCTGCACTCTTTTTGACATGGGAGAAAGAACTTGGAGATCCCAGGCTGACTGAGCCCCAGGACTGCCTCCCCTCAGGACACTGCTCAGCTCTTCTGGGGTCTCACAGGAATTTGGAGCATTACAGGGATTTTGCAGTCTCACTACTTTGTACAGGAGTCAAGCATTTGGCACGGACTGCTTTGGGCATGCACAGCACACTCCCAGCTGCAGCATTTTCATCTAAGATGCTGAATATCCTGCTCTTGGTTGGATCTGGTTAAATTTAACAGAAATACTCTCAGTTTCTACAGATTTATTGCTGTATTCAAGTAAACACAAACCAAGTTCATTCTTGGCTTCTGGTAGAACTGAGCTCCCAGACACCTACTTCATCTTCAGATGTGACAGCAAGAGGGGAGATTTAATCTCCATCCTTATTCAAGAACAATGCTGTTTGTGTATAGTGGGCATTGGATACCTTCCTTTGTAAAACACCTCACTATGTATTTTATATTCTTTTAATGTATGTTGTATAAACTTCCTATAAATTTTTATTTCTACTGATTTATTTTTTTTTAGCTGAAAACGTTCATCCTACCCTTCTGCTACATTGTAACCCTCTGTACACATTTTAACTTTAAAGTTCCCCTTGAAATAACTAAGTTTTTGAGATGGTAGCTGGCTATAGGTAACCAGTCTCACCAAGTTCTCTTTACACTTTGTGTGTTTTAAAGTGTCTTACTGACTGCAGATACACCACATTACATCTGTTCCTCTCGAAGGAGCTACTGAAGCAGAGTGAAAACTGTAGAATTCTTAAGCTACTACCATAAACTACATTTTTTCCCAGAATATGGAACAAGATTTGTCCAGCTATTCGAGTGTAGTTTTATTCTAAATAAAAAAATGTTATGAGACCTTATTTTGAAGTAAATAATTTAAACTGTATGTGGCTTTTATGGTTTGACAAATTATAAACAGTCTTTGTAGTATGAGAAAGAATGGTAATTTTTGATACCTTAGGGCGAATTGTGAAAGCTTAAGCTGAACTGGAGTAATATAAATAAGTTTTGGCTTCTGTATTAAAAGAACTGGCAAGACACTTGGAAAAACATTAAAGATTTGAAAATCTAAGCTGATGCCCACTCCAGTGGCTCCATGGCTCCACATGTCTTAGTTTTTCCAGTTGATATAATACTTTATGATATAACAAACTGTGTGGGAATTTGCAATTAACTGATAAACTAATACGTACCAATATTTTAATGTTGATTATAAATCTATTCTACTCCAAGCCATTCTTTTTGCATGGAAAATTAGCTTGAAGAAAGAATGTGAACTACTGGTTATGGAGCAAGTTATCATGTGTTCTCCAAGATGGAAACCTCATGGGGTACTGGCTGAATTTCCTATGAAGAGGATGTGGAGGAAGTCACCTAAACACACAAACTGATCTTCAGCAATACAGAGAGCCTTTGCTTCTTGCTATGAGACTGTTGAAAGTTGGAGTTGATTGAACAAAGGAAAGAGCAAGTGAAGTGATGCATTTTGCCTCTGTGGTCAAATGTCTTTGCATATTTTTCTAGAGCTATTACTGGATGACTGATCCTCACAAAGACAAGACTAAAGATGAGTGCATGGAAATGAGATTAAATAAGCAGTGTCACTGGCAGATGGTTGTTGTTACCTACTTTGCTTGTACTCAAGTTTGTAAACTTGAATGGAACAAAATCTTTCAGCATTCTTTGTTGTTCCTCCCAGGCTCTTTCAAAAAGAAAATTTGCAGTATTTTCTGTGTTTACTCACTTTTTCTCAATATTTTGTTTAGGTTGAACAGATTCTTGCCGAATATAAGATTAAAGCCCTTGAATGTCATCCTGACAAACATCCTGGAAACCCCAAAGCAGGTATGTATTGTTTCCTGTGTAAAAACAATCGATTTTTTCCTTATATTAACATATTCAAGATACAAAATTCAGCCTTAAATTTTTATTTCCCCTCAATATATTTTAATCATTGTGTGCATTGAGCACATTCTATTTAAATAGCAAGCTTGTGATATTCTTTCTAAGACTTGCACACTCCTCTGTGATAAAGCAGGAAGACACTTGTTCAATTTTTATTTATTTATTTATTTATTTTTAAATTTCTAGGACCTTGAATCTTTTTTCTTTCTGCAGTAGATCATCTTTTAATACAGAATTTATTTCTGGAGTGTGTCCCTTCCTAGACCTATGGCGTTGGTGCACTTCCACACTCAGTGGGTCTCAGCCCCCCACTTGGATCAATCAGTTAATTTACTGCCAGGAACAAGCCCGTGACAAACACATAAATGTGCTGTAGTTTCTTTTAATGTAATTTAATGGCTGGAAGTGAAGAGAAGCAGCCCCACGAGGAGCCTCTGTTGGCAGAACAGCAGCTGATGTTTGTGTTCATGAGAGGGGGCAGCTCCTCAGAGCTGGGAGGGCTGAGCAGCACCTGAGTTATTTGGAGCCAATCTTTACCCATTCATAACCACAGAGATCCCTGGACAGAGCTCACCAAGGCTGAGCTACAGAAAAGAGCAGCCAAGGGGCAAATATCAGAGCAGCTTTGCTCGTCACAAAGAAATGTTATACACTCTTTACCTGAACATGCCTTATTTACTTTAAATACCTTTTTACAGTACTAGTGAGAGTTTATTTAATGTGTATTATTTCATCAGCCTAAAGCTTAAGAAAGAATAATTAAAGTAGACTTTTTATTTGTTGAAAACTAGTAACTTTAGAATAAGAAAACCTAGTAACATTAGAATAAGAAAACCTAGTACAATTGTTCCCTCAGCCTGTTTTCTCTTGTTTGATGTATTGTTATCAATTTTGATTAGTGTTTGGGTGTAGTGTGTTTCAAAAGAACTGTCTCTAATTTGTAAACTGGAATAAATGAATAATAGTAATAATAATAGATCACTGTTACATAGGTGAGTCATAGATAAAGTCTAAATCTTTATAACCCTTCCACAAATAGTAACATGCAGCTGCATCCTTAGTAACCATTCCTTGAAAAATTTCCCTGTAGGGAAAGATGAGAGATCTTACTCATGCAGTCTGGATAACATTTTAGCATACGTAGAAAATACACCTAATAAAAGGCACAAATTAGTCAATCTGCACTATATTTAGATTATTATTTGTGTTTGTCAGTTCCTGCTCATCTTTTTTTCTCCATGCTCATGTTCCTTGCTGCTGTTCTCTGCTTTGACTCCTGTGATGCTGTAGATCTAAGCATGTTGCTCTTAGTGTGTTCCTTCTAAGCATCGTTGCTCTGATTTCCCTTTTTAAGGCGGTCTGCAGGGTCTGACTTGTGCCTTTTACCTGTGTACTCTGTAAGTTTCTCTCAACTTAAGTTTAGGAGCTTTTGAAGCTGGTAGACAAAGGAACATTTCAGTCCTGATTTGCAGGGGTATCAGTCCACCAAAGGTGCCTAAAGCCAGCCAGAGCTGTGCAAGCTGGAACCAGAACCACATCCCTGGGCCACTTGCTTCTCCTTCTGCCTTCTCCTCTACTTTGCTCTAAGCCATTGCACGCAGGTCCTCTTTTGCATCTGAATTCACTTCTTTGCCAAACAAACCTTAGTGTCCTTTTTGTCTGTGTCGCAGTGGAGGATTTCCAGCGGCTGCAGCGGGCCAAGGAGACTCTGACCGACGAGCAGAGCCGGGCGCGTTACGATCACTGGCGGCGGAGCAGAGTCCCGGTCCCGTTCCAGCAGTGGGAGGCGCTGGGCGGCTCCGTCAGGACGGTCGGTGCTGCCCGAGCCCGGAGCATTGCAGGGAGGGGACGAGCTACCGGGATGGCTTCTGCTGCAGTGACAGGGTCTGGGGATGGTGCAGAGAGATTCCTGCACTTGGGTGTTAAGGAAATTCAGGAAAATTGGAGGGCTTCAGGAGCCCGTTCACAGAAGGGCGTTAGGCCAGTAGTTTTAGAGTGAATGTATCAAGTTACTGCTTTTATAGGAAGTTAAATAAGTTAAGGGCTGTTTTCAAATGCTTCAGCTCACTTTGCTTTAGGAGGAAACTTATTTCTTTTCAAAGTTAACTTAAAGCTGGAATATTTTTATAATCTATTCTCCACTTGGTATATTGCTTATCAGATAGGTTTTCTTGCTGTCTGATTAAATAAAGATGTCATTGAAAAAATCTAGAAGGTAGTTCCTTGGAACCCTGGGCTTCCCACAGAGATTTGGAGGGGCCCTGCCAAGCTGGTGGGGTCATCTGGGACAGAGGCAGGAGTTTTTGGGTGATTTCCCCCCTGATTTTGCTAATGAGAAGATTTGGTAGCATGCCCCTAGTAGAACTCAATTCCATAATGTTGGATTGGGCTATATGGTCATATTTTAAGGCAGGTGAATAAAAGTTTCCTATGTCAATTCTGCCCACCTCAATTTTGCTTAGGAGAGAAGTTTGAACAACTTCAACTACAGCATTATGCCTGAGCTTAAATGTTTGGTGGAAATAACCAGTTAGGCTTAGTTCAGTTCCAAACAGATGTTATTCCACAGACTTTAAGATTAAATATTTTCAAATTGCCTTGCCTTCAAAGGGTTCTCTGAAGTCAAAGACAGCTTTGAAAATGAACATTTCTGAAGTCACTCAAGCCCTCCTAAAAAAAGACTGAATTCATGACAGAAGAAACTGGACAAAAGGTCCTTAAAATTCTGATGTACATTTTGTTCTTCACCTCCACCTGACATAAAGTATCCTCTCCAATGCTGTTTGGGACATGTAACCATACTTTCCCCTATCCTATTGAATGCAGGCTTCTCAATGTGCTTTGTTTAAAGATTAATTGCAGCAATATAAAAAAGAAAAAGTAATTGAAAACCCTTAAAGCATAGGGCTTAGTTCTTTGCTATGTTTGCATTCCTGTAGTCAATGCACTGGGCTGTCCAAAGTAAGAAGGACCAAATGCTGGAAGCTCCTGACTTTGGAAATACCAACAACACAGCTAAGGAGGTGTGGACCCAACAGACAGAAAACAGTGGGGATGGATTGCTGGAAGGGAGCAGGGAACAAGATGATGTTGCAATCCCTGATGTGAAACCACAGTCTTCAAAGAATCCAGACTCCCCAAGTAAGTGAAAACAGCAGTTACAGAAAATTGCAGTATCCAGGGATTGGCCTGAAATGGGCACTTTCAGTCATGAGAAAATCTTCTGCAGAACAGCTTTTTAAATGTGGGTTTGGGTTGGGATTTTGGCTTGGGTTTTATGCTTTTGATCACTTATTTAGTTTTGAAGTTTTCAGACACTCCTTCCTCCTTATCCCACGTTTCCTTGTTTGTTTGCTAGTAACAGCTGCAACTGGAGAAGAAGGAGAAAAATAATGCTTCAACCAAAATGGAAAGTTTATTTTTTCTGATACATAAAAATGCAAAGTAAAAAGAGAAGGCAGTTATTGTCAGTGACTTTTTAAAATCAATTTTAGAGCTGTTAAGTAAAATATTTAGGTTTGGGGTTTTTTTATCCATTATTCAGTAGTTTTGGACCGTTTGCATCTGATGAGTTAGTGAGGTCTAAAATTTGAGACTTGAAGGCTTCTTTCTTCAAACAGTTTTGTTTTTTCCAAGGAGTGTATGCACCAGAATAAATGTGTGTTTCAAAAGTGTCACCTACCAGTCAGCACTTCCTGGCTGTGGTTGAGGTCACTGTACCTGATCAAAGCTTCCTTAACACCATGGACACCCTCTGTGCTGCCTTGTCCTTCAGGAGTTTCATAATCCTGGGCCTGTGTTAGCACAGAACTATTGTTAAACAAAATCCTGTCATTTCTCCCCAGTTTGATCAAACAGGAAATTAGGCTGAACTGTGAGGGTAGCAAAACCTGATGTAATCCCAAATATTTGTGGAATGCACAAAATTGATAAGAAAATTCTACAAGGAAGTGTATGCCAGGCCTTACTGAAAACTTGATTTTGAAAAATTATGCTCTATAACTTTATACTATTTGCTCTATTTTTTTTGGTTTTTTTTTTTGTTGTTTTTTTTTTTTTTTTTTTTTTTTTTGGTAATTAAATCATCACTGTATCCTTTGCAGAACAGTAAAATTTTGAAGTAAAGAAAACATCATCTTGCTCCTTGTAAAGGTGAATTTTCTTTTCAGGCATCTTCTTTCTCAATTTTTTTTTTAAGTTTTACTTTAATTTCCAGATATTTGATTGGAAAAAACATCAAACTCATCAAGTGCCTACTTCATTTATCCAGTGGCATATATTCACATTAATAAATGTTAATGTTATAATATGTTTGACAGAAGTGTATGCACTGCAGTGTTTATTCCCAATGTTAGGATGTTGATAATGTTTTTGTTTTGATCCAGCAAAAATTTATGTATTGGTTTCCACTTTGAAACTGTGGCCTTGTCTGCTCCTGTCTGCTGGCCTGGATGAATTCTGGACTGCCACCTACATGGCTATTTCAGCTCAAACAACAGATTTGAGCACTAATTCTGCTCATAGGGTTCGGTTTGCTGTAAAACAGAGGTCACATTTTAGTATTAAAAGGCCCCAGATCACGTACTTGCAGATTTATCACATCACCATCTTCATCTTCTTCCTCAGATTAGGCCAATGCAATCTGTCAGTTTCCTTTATGAGTCCCTTTAGGAACTGCCAGGGTCCTTGCTGTTCTCCTTTGGACCCTTCCCAGCTGAGCCCTGTGCTGAAGGTTGCTGTTTGAGCTCCTTTTCCAACCTGCCAAAAACTCAGTGCTCCTATTTGTCCGTGCTAGTCAAGAGCACTGGAACTGACCACTTTCCTGCTTACTTCTTTTTAGGCAAGATTGTCAAGTGTTATTTCAGAAAATTTAATTTTGTGCATGTTTATAATAATTTAGTGGTCTTTCTCTTTTTTTTTTCCTCAGAATTTTCAGAGGGGAATTACTGGCACTTGCGTTTCCGCTGGTCAGGCGATGCTCCATCAGACCTTCTGAGGAAATTCAGAAACTATGAGATCTAAAATGAGAAACACGCAGAAGGATGAGATCATCTGTTTAGTGTTCAGTCTGGGTTTTTCAACAGCAGTTATAAGTTATTTGTATTTTGTAATGTGTTGTTCTAGTCAGCGTCTAAGTACTGATTTATCACACATGCTGTGAGCGTTACAGATAGAGATTTTTCTGCTCAATAAGCAAAGCCCTTTTCAATATTAATATAAAGTGATGTTGTGAAGTTATCTAACATCTTGTATTCTCAGATATTGTGCAGTGATTAATATTTCTTTCAATAGTGTGATGTTATAAAAAACATACTCTCGGTAGAACCCTGGGCTCCAGGGTATCCTACTCAGTGAGGATCTTCCAAAAGCTGTATGACAATGAACTGTAAATAGAGCTGTGCTTATCTCTTAACTCTGTGCTCTTCACTTCTCCATTGCATTGGACTCACTGCACTGTTTTATAATGTACTTGTTACAAACTTAACTTGTAGGAGACTTGTGATTTTATGTTATAGATGAAATGAGAAGGTTCTTGTTATCCAAAGTCTCTGTGACAGATCAAGCACTCCTAAAAATCACTTGTCTTCTACCTTAATAAGAACACTTTTTGTACCAGCTATTTGTTTTGGAAAGCAGTTTCAGAACTTTACTTCTCCAGATAGCAATTTTTGTCTTAAGATGTATTGGTGGAAAACTGATCCCCTGTGTATGTGTGCCAGCTTTGTCCTTGCTTATAGCAATTCCCCTCTGTGCTCAGGTGTGCTAGACATGGATTTACCAGGGTTTTGTATGGTGAGGAATGAAAAATCAGCCTAGTCAGCACTAATGTGTACAAAATCTCACATGAAAAGTTTTTGATACTTTGGGCAACTTTTCAAATTCTACATTGTTGTTTATTTATTTTGTGTTTGTTTTCTTCTTTGCAAACTTGGCTAATATGTCAGGTGTTGACGTGGTTTTGTGCAGGCAGATAATTCCATCAGCAGCAAATAAAACGTCATGCATACAGAAAAGGGGTTTCTTTCATCTTTTTAATTAAATCCTCCACTCACCACAGCGATTCCTTTGAAATTTCTTTTTATTTGTCATCTTAGTGGGTAAAAGCTTAAGGAGTCCAGTTCTGAATCCTAGGCAGTGCCATGGAAAGTGCCACGTTACATGGAAACAATCTGACATCTGTCTCCCTGGAGGGATGTGTACCAAGGGCCAGTTCTATAGCACATAATCTTTAATTTTACATGCTTTTCCCTTGCATATTTTGCAGCTGAAAATATTGTAAGATGAGATTAAGAATTCTCTGTAACAGTTGTTAAATGTAACTGGTTTGTTTTTTTCTGGTGCATTTGCTGCTTTACTTCATACAAAGGTATTTTCTCAAGAAAGATTTTGGTCCATTTTATATAGAGGGACTGTAAACAATGTTAAACGGTAGTAACAGAAGAAACTTTTATTGTATGTGAAGGATACTGAGTAATAGGGAACAATTTTCCCTCTAACAAAAAGATGGGAATGCAGCCAGCTGGAGCACTTTGAATCAGATGGCAGCCCAGATTCTCCCCTGCCCATTTCACTTGCCAGTAAAGGTAAGAGGGGGTCGTTGGATGGATAATTTAGCACCTAATGAGCTGGTTTCCTTTGAGAAGTGAACATACCATAGACCTTTGAACAGCAAACTAATAGCTTGTGTCATTAAAACTGATGTCATTAAAACTGATGTCATTATTAGCCAATTACTGCGTGGTTGGTTTTGACAAAGAACCTTTGGATGTTTGTTCTGTATGAATAACTGCAGATATTTGGAAGGCTCTTAGCCCAGTAAAAGCTCGTGGCAGAAACTGTGTTTTGCAACAACCTGCTCAAGATCAGCCCTGTAATTTGTATTTGTCCTCATGAGGAGGGCAGGTTCTAACTGGTGCTCCAGTACACCAATGCCACCAATAGGAACTTTTTTTCCCCCATCTCTTTACATGGAGAAATGATCTGTTTTTCTGTATTTCTTGAGTTGAATGAATCTATTCCTAGCAGAGCAAACTCAGATTGATTGGAAAACAAGAGGAGCCCATGCACCCTGTTCTGCTTTTCATTCCCCAAGACCAGGTGGCACCTGACCTGTTGGCCAGTAACAAGAGTTAACTGGAATGAGTGGGCAACCCAGTTCTCCCTCGTGTTAGAAAGTAAAGAAAGCACCTGACAGCTTAGTCAGATCCCTCAGTGTCCACAGCCCAAGCATAAACTGCTTATCTGCTTCTTTAAATATACAGTACTTTTAGAAGTTTTTTGCAAGTAGTGTGAAAAGATCCAATGAATGTCCCACCTGATATTTCAGCAGCAGTTATGGGGTGCTTTGGCCCCTGCACTGGTGAGCACCAAACGTAATTCACATGCTGGAACTGTAACTGGGGCACGGGTTGTGCAGTGGATCTCAGGCTCTCTGAAGGCGTGATTAAGGCAACAGAGTCAGACGTTTGTGGTTTTCAGGGGCCCACTGAGATCTTTAACTCTTTGCAAAGTAGAAACAGCAGCAAAGGGTTGTCTGTGGGGGTGGGGAACAAGAGAAACAAGCTCAGACACTATTTATTAGATTAGGGCCTAGAACTTTCAAGTTGGAGGAGGGCAGCCCTCTGAAGACATGGTAAGCTCCTATTTTATTCTTTAGCTCCCCTTGGGAGTTTCTTAGGTGGGCAGTGAAGGGTCCTGAATGTTTTGGGTACGTGAGGGCTCTGATTTAGTGCGCTGTGTTAAGCTCTGAATGATTTGGTATGAAAATAAACAGAGTTGTGAGGTGAGCCCAGATCCTCTGGAGTCCAGACAAAAGCGTTGATAAAACCCAGCCATTACCGGACTTGTGAAGGCTGAGGAGTTTTCATCTGGAAGTTATGAGACAGCAGATGGGGTTCAGGTGTATGATGATAAAATACAGAGTATAGGGGACGTTGTTCAGTGCTGTGTTCCTAGGCCTTTGAACTATTTTTAAACAGAAATGAAGCAACTACTTAGCCTGTGAAACTGAATAGCATGGAGGTTCTTTAGAATTATATAAAATTATCCTATCTTTATTTGCTGCTGTTATACTTGTGCAAGCGCAGAATATATAAGATTATCAAGAACTAAAACATTCTCAACCTTTTTGTTTTGCCAGTATTTGAGAAGCTGCTTTGCCAACATTTGCCAAGTGACAGTGTAAGAGTTAGTTAGGACGACAAACACAGACAGTATATGACTTAGAATCTCAGGCTGAGTAATGCTCAATGATAGGTTAAGGTCATTTCTTGATTGTTTGTTTTCCTCTTTAAATGAGATTTTTAACAAAGGCAGTTTATATGTTCTATAATAGCAGCAAGTATGCTGATTATTAAAAGAGATACCGTGTATCTTTAATTTCCTGAGCATGATCATTGCTATCTTACCTTCCCAGCAGGCTCATCTCTCATTTCAGGATATGAAAGTGTAAGCAGTGAGGCTGTTGTAAAGCTGATGAAATTACACAGCAAAAGATAAACCAGTCCGTAGGTTTTTGGGCTGTGTCACTGTCAGCTGGCAGATGATTATCAGTTCGTTCGTGCTGGGTATTTTACTGCAGCCCGGTGCACACGCTCCCCCTGCCGCTGGCAGAGTTGCCACTTTTCCAGCCCTTGGTTGGTGCTGGGGCCACACAAAGGAGGAGACGGACACATCCGGGTGGTGAGAGCTCAGTTTAAGCCAGTCACAGACGGCTGAGGAACGCTGCCTTGTTTTGTTTTTTCTGGTTATTAATGGTATGATAACTTCTGTGTTTTTTTTCACCGTCAACACCATATTGTGTGTGTATGTGCATCATGCATGTGCAGAAGGTCATGAAAGGCAGGAAAAGAGGATTGAGGGCCCTCCGCACTGGAGGTCCAGGAGCAATCAGATCAGCTTCCTTCAGGAAGGGCAAGGTTTGATGGAGCAAGTCCATTCCGTATAGAGAAGCCTTCTGCTGACAAGATTTGATTTATTTTCTATCAGCTGTAGGATGTGGGGTAGAACAACAGACCTTCAGGTGACTCAGGACACTGTTTGTGTGTAAGGCACTGGATGGATCCTGAGCTTTGCAGCTGACACTGCCTGTCCTGTCTGCAGGGCCTGGAAGCTGAGCTGTTGAATGAGCACTGAAGCCCAGGTGCTCTTGTCTCACCTCCACCCAGGGCTCCTGTCACTGCTTGGGGTGCAATGCCAGAACCTTGTCCCAGGACCGGCTGCAGCTTCAGCTCTACACTTCCTTCTGGCAGGAGCAGGGGAGGAGCAGGTAGGCACGGCCTGAGGAGCTGTAGTGGCATAAATGTCATAGGGCAACAGAGATTATGGGGAGACTGGAGCATCCGTCATGAGGAAAGGCTGAGGGAGCTGGGCCTATTCAGGGTCACAAAGAGATGGCTCTTCAATGAGCACAAATATCCAAAGGGGGTGTTAGGAAGGCGGAGCCAGGCTCTGCTCGGTGGTGCCCAGCAACGACAAGAGGCAAAGACCAGGAGCTGCTGCACAGGAGCTGCCACCTGAAGGAAGGGGTTCTTTCCTGCTCAGTGACTGAGCACGGAACAGCCGGCCCGGGGTGGCTGTGAGCCTCCCTGACGGGCTCCAGGGTCACCCCGCACGGGAGGACGATCCGCTGTGGGCGCTCTTCCTGCCCCGCCCGTGCCACAGTCCCAGACCATCGCTTTGAGAGCTGCGGAGGCCGTGAGCGGGGAGCGGCCGTGAGGAGCAAAACTTGTACCCGGCACGGAGCAGGAGCGGGCAGGAAAAAGAAAAAACGGAAACCCTCCGGACCGCAGCGAGCAGGGTTCGAACCTGCGCGGGGAGACCCCATTGGATTTCAAGTCCAACGCCTTAACCACTCGGCCATCGCTGCTGGTGCTGAGCCTCTCTCCGGGCTGCGCCCTTATAGGGCGTTCTGCCCGCCGCAGGCCCCGCCCCAAATCCCACAGCCAATGGGCGCCGCGGGCCCGGCCCCGCCCCCAACCCCCACAGCCAATGGGCGCCGCGGGCCCGGCCCCGCCCCCAACCCCCACAGCCAATGGGCGCCGCGGGCCCGGCCCCGCCCCGCGGCAATGGCGGCCGCGGCTCGGCCCGAGCGGCCCGGAGAGATAAATCCAATTCACTCCTGAGAGGTTCCAGCCTGGAACAGGGGCCGTGTCCGCTCCTGCAGCCAAACCTGCGCACCTGAGCCTGACAGGGCGCAGGCAGCCAGGAACTCCTGCAGGAGACAGCAGCCATTAGGTGCTGCATTAGCTTTCAGTGGCGTTAATATTTTTCCTGGTTGTACTACTTCTTTCAATTATTACAAAATCTCGAATGGCCTCTATCATATGACCTCTATATGTAATTTAATTCGCTGGAGGTATTTTCTTACCCTAGCAACAATTAATTATGCCAGCAGTAGTATAATAGAAATTAAATTAAATTAAATTTCATTTGACTTTTTACTGGTGTTGCTTTTGTTTTGTTTTTTTTTTTTTCTTTAAACAACAACTGCTTTGTGTTGACGTATAGGACTCGAGTTCAAATGTGCAATTTCAGGAAACCAGAATAAATCCGAGGCGGCTGAGAGCTGTTCAGGCACACGGCGAGCTGTATTTCACCAGCTCCACTCGTGTCTCTGCAGAAATCTCCGGTTCCTCGAGCAGTGCTGGAGTGACCTCCAGTGTTCTCAGCACAAGCTGCAGGTGCAGAGCAGGGAGTGCCCACAAAGAGCAGCTTCCAGCTCTTTGCGGTGACAATCCCTGCCCAGGAGCAGGGACAGAATGCAGAGTGCACTGCAGTAAGTGTATTTTGAACACGAATTTATCTCCCCAAGGAATCTCAGAAGTTTCATTTCTTAAGCGCTTAAAGGTAGCAAGATCTTGACATGAGAATAGGTGATGGATAAAGTCTGGTTTAGGTCTGGTATATAAAATAATGGTGCTAGGATAGAATTGCCTGTATTTTCTTATGTTTTTAATTTCTTCAAGTAACGAGGACAGATACTGAGAAATCTTCAATAGCACATGGACAGATTAACCAACCAGTATCAAAAGTGTACAAGTGGTTTCTTAAGAAATACAGGGACTGAGCCCCAGGCACTGCAGTCCTTCAGGTTTCTTGTCTTAGCTGACCTTACGTGCAACGTCAATTTTGTAATGCTTGTTCCATCCCTTCTCCACTACTTGCTCTCTGGCCTTTTATTTGATCAATCTCTATCAGCTTTACAAACTCAATAATTTGAACATTTCTTCCTGTTACAAATCTATAATGCTTGCAACAGAAAATCAGAAAAAATAGGTTAGATTCTGCCTAAGTTAAGTATTTACAGCAATGTCGGCAGAACAGCAACTGTGTGCTTCGTGTAACTTTGACTATTTGAGAGTAAATTTTACATCTCCCTTGAAGAATGAAATAATGACCCCAACATAAGTAGTATTTCACAACAAATAATGCTTGCACCACAAGACTACAGAATTTCATGCTTCCTCCCCGAGGAAACACATAACAGTAGGAAAACTAACGCTGCATACCGAAGAGTATTTCTTTTGTATTTCTCCTGTTCTGTTAGTTTTGTAGATCATTTAACAGAGCTGAATCTGTACAATGAAAATAAGAATTTAATGGAAAATTCTGTATGGCTAAAATTTCACATTCTGTGAATGCCTAAGAATGGCAAGTTTCAGGTAGAGAACCAAAAGTGGCCTTTGTTCCTTTAGTAAGGAGATGTCAAACTTTTCCTTGTTTATTTGTCAAAGATGACAAAATTTGTTGAGATATAATGGCTGCTAGGCAGCTTCCATGGAATTAATTGGTATTCCATGGTATTTTTTATAAACATTATCTAGAAGAAGAAATTTCTGCTGGTTAGGTAAACCAAAGTGTTCTAGTGCTGGTCCTTTCTGCTCAAGGATTTGAGGCTGCTGGCCAGGGAGTGCTGATGCTCGGTGGAGGCAAACTGAGCTGCAGCTCCCTGTGCCTGGCTGGCTCTGCTCACAGGTGGGAATCCAGAGCTTCCCTCTGGCTGCCCTGGCAGCTCTGGGACCCTGGCAGGGGTCAGGAACCCCCCTGGACAGAGCCCCCAGAGACACTGCCTGTGATCTCTGTCCATGGAAAAGAGTTTTCAATCTTACAGGATGAATTACAAGCTTTGAGTGTTTGATAAGAATAATAATTAAGTGTGACACGGGTGCAAGAGTAAAATTTTAGGTTTCTAGATTAGGGGTTCAGAGGGGACAAGATGGAGGAATTGGGTGTGTCTTGTCCTTTTCCTCCTTCTTCATGCCCTCCATGTTTCACTGTGGTGTTGGCATTTTTCTGTTGGTTTAGGCTGGGGACACACTGTTTAACGTAGGTGACAGATATTGGCACATTATTGTAAATCCAGCACATGTAGTTTGTGGTATTTAATGTTTGTAACATCCCACTGAGGGCAGAGCCCCACACGCTGCCCTGCAGGACAGAGCTGCGGCAGGGCAGCAGAACATGTTAGAGATAAACAGAATAAACAACCTTGAAAAGAGCACAGATGAATTATGGCTTCTTCTTTGGCAACGGGGCAGAAAGAGACTTTCTACAATCTCGGAATCACCAATACCCACAGATTCCGACACTCACAGGTGCTTCATCACCTCACTTACAGCAACATCTGAAATGAGGGCAGCAGGTCACCTGTCACAAGTGTGTGAATAAACACAGACAGTCTGCCAATCCTGCTCATGCAGCTAAATATTAATTAAGGTGTCTAAACAGCCATGCATATGTAAAAGAGGCATACAATTTTATCCTAAAGCTTTCATTTTACTATTGAAAATGGCTCTTAACGTTGACAGACTGTAAAATCTGCTTTTGCCTCTAATCCTCTCAAATGTTCAGTAATAGCTAATTTTTAGAAAAATGCTATTAGTTCTACTTAAATTTTAATGAAATAACAGGATCAGTGTCAGTCACAAGATTACCAAATTATATCACTGAATGTTGTTGTAGGTGTCAATGCAGCCAAATGTTTTGTTGCATTCTTATTTTTAATAAATAACCTTAGCAAATTTGGGCATGAATGTGCTACTGGATTGGAATCTTTTTCTTTAATAAATCTTTACCAGATTTACTGGGTTTTAAACAAAAAGAATGTTCCTGTTTGCAACTGGTTTATCCACACATCTCCTACATTTTTTGAAAACAGAAGGTAAATGGATTATGCATTCAAAATCCAACTACGCTGAATATAATAGGAAAATGCTACTCTGGGCCAAAACCACCCTCATGGTAGGTTTATTAATGAGACTTGGTGTTCATAATGCATCTGCAACACTATAAAGAGTAATAAAATAGGCTTCTGGCTCCCATTTTGTTTTGCTTGATTTTTGTCTCCATTCTGAGCACAGGTGTTGGTATGGAGACCCTGATTTCCTCACCTTTTGTATGCTTCAAATCTTAAGTTACATGACTTTTTGTTTGATTTATTTTTCATTTAATCATTATTTTCCCATTTACTGGAGTTTCTTCCCCCCATAAAAACAATATATGCAGTCTGTTTTAAATAGTTGTGATTAAAACCTGTTATTTTGCTTAGTTTTACAGGCTATTTTTCATATTGTCACTACAGAGAGGAATTATGACATTGGGTAATATCAACAGGTGTACCTTATGTTAGTACCTCCAGATTAGGAGAAGCTTTAGAATGAAATTAGATGGAGGTCAGTTATGAAAAATATCCTTCATCAGAAAAATCTCCCTCTTGGCTGCTCACATTTGTGCCTAACTTTAAATCTGTTTGTAATATTGTCTGGTTGCAACTGTCCTGGGTAAATGACTACTTTAATTCCTCTTATACCTCAGGGACAGGTCACAGCAATAAACCTTTCCAATATTCTTCAAAATCAAATACTTTGTACATTTTGAATTGCAAGACCTTGAATGAAGGAAAGCTAAAATTCAGTAACAAATAGAATAAAATGAACTTTAATTATGCTTTAGAGGCAATTTACCATGGGTCTTTCAGCTGAATGTCCCATTTTTTCAAATTAAGCTACTACAGATAGGTTATTTTGGGCCATTAAAGATGTACTAATCACACCCCTCCTGTTAGCACTGTATTTGTGCAGAAATCTGTGGTGTACAGTATTAGCACTCATGGTTGAAAGTTTAAGTTTTGTAGGTCTGTATTGCTGCTGGTCTCTGTCACTGATGGGCTTCTCCACTGATGTGGAGAAACACCAGTGATCATGTGCTTTTGCTGAATTGTCTGAGAACCTTGGGATCTTCAGGAATAATCCTTTTTAGTCTTTGTTTATTCTCACCTGAATAGCTCACATTTCCTACACAAGAGAAATCTTCCGGAGAAAATTCCAAAATATAGTTTGAGGAAACAAAACTTCAGCAATGGATCTCAAGAACTAAGTTTAGGAATTTCAGCCATTGCTATTTCATTTCTGACACTTATGGTGATATGATGAATTTTGCAATTTAAACTCCCAGAGTACTAATTTCATACTGCATGGTTTCTCAGTGGGAATGGGAATTAGTGCCTTGTAAGCAGGCTGTTTTTCAAGAGTCATCTCTTTAGATAAAATTATTTATTGTTTGTATAAAATTATGTCTTAGGGATTCACTATAATTCTGACAAGGTTGATTAAATAATAATGTACAATTGTGAAATATATTAACTCAATGCTTCCATTAGAAGTAAACAGATGTGTAAACAACTGAAAATAGAAAGACATTACCAATTACTGGGCTTACTTACAGAAAGCAAACGGAGAGTCAGAATATTGGAATATGCCCTCTTAAAAAATACATTTATTTCCAAACTGTTTCAAGTGAGAGCTAACATGAAAAGTTATTGCAGGACCGTGAAATTTTGTTAAAGAATCCGATTACAAATTTTTCTTCTGCCTAGCTGAATTAAGTTTAGAAAATATGATGACATCTATACTGGTGGACCCCAGGGTTGTGTCTGAGGTCCTGTGTCTGGTCAGACAGTCTGTCCATGCCCTGCTGCCAGTCTGGGGGTACATTTAACCACTCACCAGTTAGGGATTTCTCATTTGCCTTCTGTGGGAATGAAATCCGGGTACATTAGATGCAGAAAGGTGAATCGGCCAAGTTCCTTATGTGGATGATCTCTGGCCAGGACTGGGGTTGTCTTCACCCGACGCAGATATGAATACTATATTTAATTTGAAATTTGCTTTGTTTTCATGGGTACCTTATTTGATTGCTTAAGTTTTAAATGTGTTTGCCAGAAGTGCAGTGTCTCAACAGGTCTAGTTTGTTACGGTGAGCTCCTGGACACCCTTT